TTTTTTTTTCAGGCTTGACGGAACTGATGGAGGAAAAATCATGGGGGAAGATTAACCTTATCGCACAGTATATCACTCCATTTTCATCAGCTATAAGCGTGACTTCTTGAACACCAGAGTTATCCTTAAAAGATTTGCACTAAATTCCGAAGTTTGAAAGATCAGCTCTAGGAGATAGTTTTCAGGCAGATTGAGCCTACATCTAGCAGACGGAGCCGACGTCTAGATGTGAGGCCAGTTCCTGCATAGAACACTTCAGGTTTTTACTCTCACAATCTGCTTAACCATTCAATGAATGGAAACAGAAGTGGTTGCTCATGAATTCTTAACGACACCCTTTTCAACCCCCGTGGCATCTGGATAATATCTGGATATTTTGCTTACCAATATGACTGCCGTTGGTTTCTTCCCTAGTTTTGCCAAACCACCAATCACTTTGCCTTCTTGTCTTGCGCAGAACACAACCATGTCATCTCCCTAAATATAAGACAAATCTGCCTGTCGTAAGAATCATACTTCAGAAAGGTTTTAGTAACTGCCTGAACGGAAAAAATAAACGAAAACTGAGTGAGACGGTCTCTAGTGACCAAAAGAGCAACCAGAAAAACATAAATTGAAACCCACCATTCTATCATCGTTTGAGAAACCAACGGCGGCATATCCATTTTGCTTAGGGGGTTTTCCCGATACCTCCATATTTAGATAGTCCCCATCCACCTGCAGACTATCCAAATAAGTGACAACTTTCCAAACTTTTTCATATCAGATTCAGTTTCTACAGACTGGGCCATTTGCTTAATACATTTGTCTGTGTGGGGCCTGAATCTCTGGAGCAAAACTTCACAATTTACTTACGTCATCATGTTGGGGCCTTTGAAAGGCTGGAAAAAGATGATCGATCGAGGCTCTGACAAGGATCCTCACTCAATCTGATCGTTTGACCTACCCCCCCCCCCTTACCGAATTAGTTATTAATCTAATATCATAGAATCAATCATGGAAGATATCACAAGAAATTGTTAGAAAATTCTTATGATATCTTCCATCTCTATAAGAATTTTGGGTTGAAGTAGAGAGAGCCCGTGCATAGGTGACAGTAGGGCTCTACGAATTCGTTTTGATAATAGGAACAGTAATTCGCCTATCCTTCAGTGTCTCTATGGGTGCGCGCATCCTCTCTCACTTCACAACAGTTATGTTTCGTTTGGCATCTTTCACAGTCGCGCGATCGGTCGCGCGACCCATCTCACGAGCGACCGGCGACC